AGGGAGGTAAGGCACCCGCCGGAAAAGGGGGAAAAAATGGCGGACAGCCTTGCTTGGCGACCCCCGTGAAATGGTCGATCGACCCCAAATGGGGTCGCGACCCATAGGTTGAGAACCGCTGCTTTAGAGACTGGATGGAAATTGTAGAGGTGTGTATGGGACAAACTCCGGAGTTCAAGGATGAAAAAGAAAACTTCTCAGGTGCTTCTATCATGTAAAATATTAAACCATAATAGCAATAGCACGTAGACTTATATACCCCTTCGGAATGCAGGGGTTCCCAAGGGCGACCCAGAGCGGAAGGAGGGAGGAAAGAAGGCATGGTTGTGGGGTGGGGTGAGCACCCGTTGCATGAGTAGGGCTGTGAGCACTCGTGCACGTGGGGCCACAAACACCCGCGGCGACGCTCTAGCGAGTGGAGCCACGAATGCCGGCAACACTCACGCTGATGCTCACTTGAGTGAGGCCACGAACGCCCGTGACGCTTGCCGCAACACTTCCATGAGTGGCGCCGCAAATGCCGCCGATGCTCACAGAGATGCTCACTCGAGTGGGGCCACAAACGCTGTGATGCTCAGGGCAACGCTCGGACGAGTGGGGCTCCGCACGTGCGCACACACAACCACACTGGGCAGCCACTCACATGGCCCGGTGGCCAATAGGCCATGGCCTGGTAGTGCGCTGCGGCCCACAGGCTGGGGACCCCTGCTTTATAGCACTCTCTAAGTGGTTTACAAATGTCAGCATGTTTTCCTCAACAATCTGGCTTCTGATTTTACCAACTTCGGAAGGATGGAAGGCAGAGTTGACCTTGAGCCCGTCAGGATTGAACTGCTGGCAGTAGGAAGAGTTAGCTTGCAATGCTGCCTTCTAACCACTGCACCACCAGACATCCTAATAACGATTTTCTTGTGGGTCATCCTTCATGTGCGTAGACTCAGTGGTTAAGACACTGGGTTTGTCATCTAGAAAGCCAGCAGCCCAGGTTTGAGACCCGAGCACCACAAGATGGGCTGAGCTCCCGTCCTCACCTCAGCTTCTTCCAGTTCAAACACATGGAAATGCGAGTAGATAAATAGGTATTGGGTAGATGGGAAGGTAGCAGTGCTATTGACATCATGCTGGCCACGTGACCACAGAAATGTCAGGGCTGGCTCCACAGCCTCTAAACCAGGTGTGTGAAACTGCCGGCCGGCAGGCCGGATGTGTCATTCCGAAACCGCACCCACCTCATTGCCAGCAAGGGGGGGAAAGTTGCGATACATCACATGGTGTCACGTGACGTTGTGAGTTTGACATGCCTGCTCTAAACAGAGGTGAGCACCATCCCTGAATGTCGGAGATGACTAGTTGAGTAAAACCAGCAGGGATGCCTTTATTTTACCATCCCCCGCATGCTCCTTCGGGGGCTGAAAAAGACAACCGAGTTCAGGTTGGCTTCACCCCCCTGCTGGACTCTTTCCTTTCCCTCGTGTCCTTCCTCACCTTCTCTTTTCCCGGACAGGTGTTGTGTCTGCAAGAGATACCCCTCACCATGTTCTACGACTGTGTGGATGACCAGTATATTGGCTGCAGCTCCATGAGGCAGAAGTCGAGATATATCCCTTTGGAGGGAAAGTATAATAAGACCTGGGAAACGGCCAGAAGCCACTGGTACAGGCGTGGCCAAACCAGGCGTGGCCAAACGGTCGGCAGCTTCGATCCCATTTATGGCACTGCGATTGTGGCCTACACAGTCGGAGACGACCTGTACAGAGATTTCAATACCGCCGTACGAGAAGCCGGGAAATCCCAAAATTCTTACGACCAATTTGCCTTCAAGCACTTCTTCTTCCTCCTAACCAAGGCTCTCCAGGCCAAGAAGACTGACGACAGATGCTATGAGGTCTTCCGCGGGATAAAAGGGATCCATTTCACTGTCTCCGACGAGGTGGTTCGCTTCGGACAGTTCGCTTCCTCCTCGTTGGACAAAAAGGTGGCCCAAAAATTTGGCGAGGACACCCTCTTCTCCGTCAAGACCTGCTACGGAGTGCCCATTTACGACTTCTCATACCACAAGGACCAAAAGGAAGTTCTCATCCCACCCTATGAGACGTTCACCGTGATCAACCACAAGAGCAACCGGAATGGGGTCTTCATCAGGCTGGAGTCCCGGGGTGTATTCAGCCGCTTCAACTGTGGAGTCCTGAACGGTAAGAGGCGGGAAGAAAGGAGAACGTGGGGTTCAGGGGTCCCAGGAAGATTCTCGGCCATACCGGACGCTGCTGCAGAACTGCATCAGTTCCAAGTGGACCAAATGTCTACGGAGATGGTCAATCCTCCA